CCCTGTATATTGACTAGCATGCATGTATCAGTCTTTTCCGAAATTGCTAAATTGAGTCAAGCTGGCCCTTGAAAATAACACATTCTAGGTGTCCCCAGAGGAAAAAGTCAAGTGGAGTTAGGTCTGGCGATTGTGGTGTCTACTCATTGGCACCTCGTCTACCAATATATTTATTTAGGTAATGATCATCCTACCATTGACTAACTCGAAATTCATAATGGGGAGGGGCACCGTTTGTCTCTATCTTCTGCCTCGCGAATAATTAAAGGCTTAATGCTGAAACATCTCGGCATAAACTGCTCCACTAATATTTCCCTCTATAAATAACGGCCTAATAATAGATTTCCTCAATATACCTGCTCAAACATTAAGCCTTCTAGGGTACTGGGTATGACCTCTAAATAAGCGAGGGTTCTCTTCACTGCAATAACGGTAGTTGCATATTAACAGTACCGTTAAAATAAAAAGAACAATCATCTCTGCAGTAAATGTTTTTTACAAGCGCTTTTTGGTCACCAATTATCTGCGTCATAGACTCAACAAATTGAATTTTCCTGGCCTAGTTATTGTCAGAAAGCTGTTAAAGGATTTGGATCTTATACGGCTGAAACTTATTCAAATTTAATACTTTTCTAGGCGACTACGTAACTGTCTGACGAGTCGATAAAGTTGGGTTCATGGAAAACTGATGCAAAACTTCAACTTTAGCTGTTTTCTAACTAGTCTTAGTGCATTTCGTTTCTTGTTAGCAACAAAGCAAGTTTGTCGATATTTAGCAAGTAGCTGTCGGATGTATTTATGTGTTTCATTTTTGCCCTCATACCTTTCGATAAAAGCCGTAGCTGCTATTAACAGCAATTTTCAGAACCGTAAGTAAATAAAAAATAAACTAAAGAGCAAATCTGAATTGTATTTACGTTGTCAGAAGCTGTTTGGTTTAGGTGTTCACCTATTTCAAATAAATAAATAATCAAAATAACATCCAATTAAACGATTTTGTGCTTACATTTAATAAGACTTATCGTGACTATTCGAAATCTTTTTTTAATTAATAAGTCGGTAACTACATCATCAGATGTAACGTTATGCAATGACATTGTAAAGCACTTGTGAAGAGCGTTAAAAGGAGCTATTACAAGTAAGGGGTAGTAATTTAATATTTTAAAGTTGGGGCGGGTAGAGTATAGAAGATTGGTGGGAGTGCTGTAGTTAATACATAGGTTTGGTTCCTTCCACTTAATATAGAAGCAGTTTTCAGGAATTTTTTTATATCTTTTTCGTTCCTCCGACATAGCCATTGCAAGTTTTCAAATCGTATACTGTTTATACAAGGTGATTTAAAATTACCGTCATTCTTTTAAGGGTTATAGAGGCTCCTTAGGACATTAACAAAATCGAAAAATCAAATTTCAACTTTCTTGATAAGCGATTTTTCGCGGGTTAAAGGGACAAATAATTTTTAGAATAAGAAAAATCAAGAATCCTTGACGACCTACGGGTATCAGATAAAAGGGCACCAAACTGGTCTCGGTTCAGTAGTAGCAGATTGATTGCAGACGTACAAGTAGCACCCCATATTGGCGTCAAGAAAGATTTGCTGCCCGACGGCTGGTACAGATCTTCTCTGCTTTGTAGCTTAGTTGGTATATCATTATCCCGGAGTCATGCACATTTAAAACAATCAAGGTGCTATGTTGCCACTTATTGGGTTTCCCTGGTGGTTGTAATCGAAGAAGATTTGTGCCCACTAATTTTGACGTATTGCGGACGATGTGTAAGATAAGATTTGAAATATGTCACAAGTTTCACTCCCAATCCATAATGCAGCTGGTGCTGCAGCAAGTAAAGTTGTCATTCGTCTTGTCAAAAGTCTTCCAGAGGTCGATATAAACCGCATCAACCCATGTCTGATTATCCAGTGTTGTGAATCGTGAAAAATCCATGCAAAGAATATGTAATAGTACGCTTTACTGACTAGTTCAATGGATTCCATTACTCCATTACTGTAATGGCCAAAAATGCAATCGTATACCGTTGCCTCGAAGACCTTTGGAAATGGGGATAAACTTGGAATGGGATATTTTGTTCTCACTTTCCTGCCGTTTGTAAAAACGTTGGTTATTCATGCCTCTTTCCATCGCTCTGGAAACGTTTGCTGCCTGAGGCATAAGCTGAAAATAAAAGACAACGGTCGAAGCAACAAAGAAGCACAATATCTTACCAACAAACTAGAGATCCGATCGAGTCCGAAAGTTATGATTTTTTTTGAAATTCCAAGCAATAATTATTGCGTCATCAGTCCAGTCATCAGACTATCCAGCCACGAGAGAGCCATTGTGTGCATCATGTTCCATGACTTTATTAGAAGATGCCATATAGATTGCCTTGAAGCAAGTTGCAATTGCACTGACAAGGTCCGTAGGCTCATAAACCTGGTACATTTTAATGTGTTGAAGTTCTTCAAGTTGGAAATTTAAATCGGGTTGGCCAGACGTGGATTTATGTTGTGCTATCCAACTCTGCCTGAATTAGACAGCATTTTTGTCTACAACCATTAAAATTGTGCCGAAATAACTAGTAGAGGGTCTCTTTACTTTAATTTGAAGAATTTTGCATTTTGTGAATTTTCCAGTATCTCACTTTAAAGTCGAAATAATTTAAACACCAAAGAAAAATAAACATATTGGATAAACAACTCACTGAATAGCTCTAGCTATAACAATTAAACATACGTCGCCGTTATAATGCTTATGATATAACTTTATCACATTTTCCAAAAATAATAAATAAGTTTAAATAATCTTCGTTTGTATAATTTAAGCGTGCGGCGATGATTATTAATAATTTTCGAAAGGTAAATGACGGATGTATCCATTCTTTTGGCATTTGATTGTATTAAAAATGGCCAAAAACTGATGAGAGTAACAGGATTTAAAATAAGATGCGGCAAAATAGCCATATGAAAACATTAAATTGACAATATTTCGAAAACTAAACACTTTTGGAATAGACGACCTTACACAAACTTACATTAATTGTTAATACTGAATAAGCTGGAATTATCAAAAATGGGGGTTTCCATTTGAAGAAAATGGTTTTGGGCGGTTTTCTCAACTTTATTTTGAAACTAATTTTTTTATCACTGCATTAATGTTATCAAAATGTTGTCGCAATTCCATTAAAGTAAGTCATTTTCAACAATAAATGCCACTCAAAATTAAGTATACGAATAAGAAAAATACACAAATAAGAAAGTGGATAATTAATCGAGTGCTTGAAACTGTTAATTTTACATAAAATTTCAAAAATATCAAAAAAGGATTTAGGATGTTATACATAAAACATATTTAGAATTTAGAGTATAATTCAAAAATGTAATAATATAGGGTGTTCCATTTAAAATAAGCGAGTTGATACTTACTTCCGGTATAAATAAGATATCAATTGCGGCGATTCCCAGTGGGACACCCTATATAGATGGAGATACCATCTCAAATTATATGACAGCGGAGTGCAAGGACTTCGTTTCTAGCAGGCCGGAAACCCACAAATCCAACACTACGTGACTGGTCGGATTCGTGTTCCTTTGTTCTGACTGGTGCCGGCTGATCTTGGGACCGATGAGTGGG